TTATAATATCTAAACAATATCACAAAGTGTAAAATCAATATGTCAATCAATATCACAAAAAATAATCGCAGTTTTATATATGTATATACGTATAAAAAAATCATGATTTATATAAAATTGATTTTAATCGTTTCAATACCAGCATTAGTTCAATTACCGATATCAAAACGTGCCATCAAAGCACAATCATATGCAATGTCATTTCGCATTATATAGTAATAATGATTGAAATTGATTAAAGTTATCACTAAATTACATACACTATATGTATAAAATCTAATATGAGATCTCTTGCGATTTAATAATGCTAAAAGCAAAACTGTATTAAAGTTGCACACTTTTACGATGGTTTTATTTTACTGGTGTTATTATTTATTTTATTTTTGTTCATGAGTTTAAAATAGGCTGGAATTTATTTACAACTTTGAGCCAATTTTCAGTTTGGTTTCCCTTTCTTCGTTATATTGATTGGTATTTAGATTGCGCGCTGGTTGATGAGACAAGGAGCGAAAACCAAGTTGAAAATCGGTTGCAAGTAAATTCCAACACTGCACTGGTTTAAAATATACTTAGCATAATTATTCGTTGGGTATTTGTCTGTACTTGATAAAATAGAAAATAAATACACAAGTAGAAAACAATAATCTAAGAATATAAACTAAGACCCTATCTAAAGTAAATATGATAACATGTTTTATCTTATTATAGAAATCACTTAATTATAGAAATCAATCCAATCATAATAAGCTATTTCTATTTTGCTTTCAGTATAAATCGTAAATAAAAATTATAAATTACGCCATTCACTATAAAATAATAATTCTGTTATTCTATGTAAGTTACATTAAAATAGTATATTTATATAAGTTAACTATTACTCATAGCTACAGTGTAATTTTCTCATCGTTAGAGACAATGAACGGTGTGATTTGGAGTAAGACTCAAAAGACTTTCGTGTCAATTTCTAGCGTACCTATATATGCCACGATACAAAAAGAACGCTTCAAACAGAGTCGAGGACTTGAATGCCACAATTTTCAATTACAAAACTTGACATTAGCATCTTTTCAGATATGTTCTGAAAATATCTATAATTATCTTTATAATTATTCTTTCTAAGTAAGTACTAAAAAATGAGATTAATAAAATTTATAAAAAAAAATTCAATATCATATTCAAATATGGATAATTGATATAAATAATTAATAAAAAAAGTTATAGTATTTTTATTTTTAACTAGAATTCCTCTCTCTCTCTCTCTCTCTCTCTCTCTCTCTCTCTCTCTCTATCTCTCTCTTTCTCTCTCAAAGATTATAAATATGTATATGATCTCTAATGAAAATAAAAATTGGAGCGTAAATCACTGTAAAAATAGACAGAAATGTAAATAAAGCTTCTATAGGAGACGAAAATTGAAAAAAATGAAATATAAAAGAAAATCGCAATTTATCTGTAATGATAATAAAATTGCGACCAATGTAATAGAAGAGTGTAACTATAAAGATGACAAGACCGAAAATATTGCATTGTTGTGACTGAAAATGAAAAAAATAAGTCTACCATTTTGCGTAATGTATAAGTCTACCATTTTGTGTAATAACTATAATGTATTTAACCGTTTTATGATTTTTATTAAATTTGCGTTAATTTATTGATATGTATACGCTGAAGATGACCTGACAAATAAGTCGAAATGTATGTGTTTTTAAGAATTGAAATATACGAAAAATTTAGCTTTTAGTTGTTCTGTTATTCATTTTTATAAATAATGCTATAAAGAATATCTAGTTTCATATTTAAAAATAGATATCTGTTAAATAATGATATGACAAGAATTATAAAATTGATGAATAATATAATCTTTATTATTTATTAATTATTATTAATTATACATTTCAGGAGCAGTATTTGGTTCACTTTTAATAATATGAAGATTACAGGATTTTGTGGAGAAATATGGAATCTACTTTCTGAATCGCTGAATTTTACGTAAAAATGCATCATGTATCACATCGCAAGAACAAAATGTTGCATTGTGAGATTAAATTTTAATATAATTAATAATTTAAAGTAACGAAAAAATATTTCATATTTTTAGACTACAGTTAGTGAAAGCAAATTTAGATGACCAGAGTATGCTTATACAAAAAGATGTCTTGTCTTTTAAAAACGGATTATTACCTATTATTTTTCGTAATGAAACTATTGCAATAGCAAAACTACAAAACTTTTCACCGGAACTCGTGGCTATCGAAGTTTCAATATCTTTTTGGACAAACTGGTCAGCTTAATTTATTAAATTTTTTAAGTGTTTATCTGATTTAACATTTATTCAAATTGCAGTGTTATGATAGCTATTAATAACAATTAAATTATATGATCGATAAGATAATTGTCATAATTTAAAAATAATTTTATAGAATTCAATTATATATTCATCGTGAAACGATATATGATAATATATGGATGGTAAAAATTTTTTCTTGGAAAATATGGTGCGTTATATTGAATATATGTCTACTACTGAGTCTATGCACCTTTTTGACACAAAGTATTCTCATACAGAATGAAGATAAACATAAAAATATATCTCTCAGCGAACATTTATTTTATAATTTTAGAAACATGTGCAATCAAGGTGTGTGTGAAAATGAATGTGTGTAAATAATTAACGAAAATATTGCTCATTTTTGTTAGAAATGGCTTTACATTGAGATAAATCTAAATATCGCATTAAAATAAAATTGCAATTATATAAATTTGATATCATATTAAATTTGATTTTTAGAATTAGAAGTAGCATAATTTGGAAATTAGTTCTTCAATATTTTATGATAATTTTTTAATTTTAAAATATGTAAAAAATAAAAATTACAATATTTAGATAATATAAATAATAAATATTAAAGACTATTGAGATATAACATAAAACATAATGATATAAAAAATTATGTGATAATAATGAAAAGTTATGATTAAGTAAAAAATTAATTTGAATAATTGTAACAGGCTATATTCCCCAGCATCTTGATGGAAAATCGAGAATATTAGAAGTATCATTAGGATTGTTTTGTTCTATAACATACACGTTATTGGTATATTATTTATACATCTATCTAAAAGTATTTTCATGCCACCATTTGATAGTTTTACTACCTTGGTAACTAATACTAAGTACAACATTGGTCTGAAGGATACAACCGCAGAAGCTATATTTAATATATACTTACTCAAACTATAATTACTATTCTTTAGATAAAAAATGTATAAAACCATATAAAAATTAGAGAATGATATTCAAGAAGAAATTATAAGTTTTGTAAAGAACATAATGTAGAGATTCTTTATACATTTATGATTTTTTGTGTATAAAACTTAAATGCTTGAAAAATGTTGATTAAATATTATAGATTAATGAGGATCCATTTTTACAAGCAAAACAGATGGAATGATTGATGTTAGCATCAACGTTTGAGAATATGCATAAAAAAGCATGTTTTTCCAAAGAGAAATGTGTCATATTTCAAACCGAAGCAATGCGTAAAGCAGTTGGAAATGTTATGTGTCATTTGACTAACGTTAGACAACCTTATGCGAAAATGGATAACGTCTGGTATTGTGAAGAATTTTAAATACAAAAGAAGTATCGATCTTGGGTAAACAATATAATGTGCAAAATAATATATTCTAGATGTAAAAATATTGATTTTTTTTTAAATCGACAACGTATTATACAAACGTATTATATAAAATTTTTAATTAATTTAATCTGTACTCTCTAAATTCTTTGAAATGAGTCTCATCGATCTAAAAAATAAAAATTGAGCAGTCTTAAAGTGAAAGAGTGATTCAATCTTCAATCTTTAAGAAATAAAAATGAGATTTCATTGCTTAGAGTGAAAATCATTTTCAAAATTTTAGAGAGTATATACAATATGTAATATTTCTACAAAATTTTTATTTTATTTATAACATGGAATGTCTTTATAATTAAAATAAAAATCGTTTAAATAGAGAGAGAATTTCTACACATTTTTAATGTTATATAAAATGGATTTCAATTTTTCAAAATTCCAAAAATGTTGATATTTCTAAATTAATTTTTCAAAAAGAAAAGAAATACATGTTAAAAAATAACTTAGTTATAATTAAATATTAAAAAAGAGTTGATACAACAATTGATGTTATTACGATTTCCAAAATTTTTACTAGAAAAGTACATTCAATACTTATATCTTTTTATAAATAATTGATATTATATTTACTCAATGATATGAGTTTCCTGTGTAGTAGTAAGTCTGATTTAAATTTTGATAATTTCATGTATTAATAAATAATTTTCATAAATAGGATACTTAAATTAATGGAAATTGGATTATTAAACGTGTTAAAAAAATGTTAGTTGGAAAATGATTTTAAATATTATTATGCTGAAGATGAGACACCGAAATCAATTGAATTACATTAAGTTTCTTTAATAATTGCAATAATGTGCTATATAACTCTCATTATTTTCGCTTATAACTCATTATTTTCATAATCGAAAAAATTATATTTACTTATAAAGTAAAGCAATTATGAACATTTTTCCTTATACTTTATGAATATATTTTATGAATTTACTTGCAAATAGTAATTTAATTAGTATTAGAAAATCGTTAAATTATTTTGTAATTATAATATAGTTGTAATTGTATAATAATGATATTCTTACTAATAATCAAACACAAAATTTTGGGAAAGCATGTTATACTTTTGTGACAATATTAATCCAAATTTTGTTGAAATAAATGCACTTTAAATTATTATATGAATTGTAATATATTTTGTATCCTAACATCATACAATATAACATTACTTAAAACAGTTATATATATTGCGAATTCATGAAGGTTGTGCACTTGTCGCTTCCTTTGGTGTATCTTCTGTTAATGTAGCTTCTACAGGATGCGGTTCGGTTGGAACGATATCATGTTCCTCTTTTGGTAAAACATATGTGCCTTCTACTATATCTGTCGGAATCCAAGATGGTATAATCTTACCGTGAATTCGCCATACACCATACTCATTAGCTAAATGCTTTTCGAATACTATGTATTCTAATACATCTTTTCTCAGAATTTCGCTTCCTTGTATAAGACGACCAAATCTATCGTAAATTGCTAAAACCTATAAATGAAGAAATTTTCACTTAAAAATTGTTTATATTAAAAATATATTATAAAAAGAGAATAAATTATAAAGAATGTTATTGAACCTGTTGCGTGTGAAATCGAACAGTAAGTTGTGCAAATACGTTTTCTTTTGTTATTATATCTGTAGTCCTTGCGTGCACGAGGCGAGCTGGTTCCAAAGACTCTAAAAAGTTCCAATGTATGGTTTTGTTCATTATGTTGTGTGTTATTTTCTGAAAATATAAAAGAAAAGTTTGAATATACGTTATTATATGTAGTAATAAATGTAATATTAGGTGTGGGAAAAAGTTCGTGGCGTTTTTTTAATGCCATTTAACGGGAAAAACGCCACGAACTTTTTTCCACGCCTAATATATTATATTTTAAATTAGCAAGAGAGGACACGAAATATATTTTTAACTTACAGGATATGCCATTTCTGTAACATATTTTATTATTTCCTCTTCATTTTTGCTATAATTAAAAATTGTTTTATTTAGTAACATTGCTACAAATAGGAAGAAAAAAAACTGTATTTTGCTATATTTATTAATTACTAACAATTCCTTTAATGTACATATATTTGCACAATTATGAAAACATTATATATTTGCAATTTTTTTTTCTTACCTAGCTAAAGCTTTATGTGCCTTTTGATATATATCTAAGGCTTCTTCTAAAAAAAATGATGTCTTGAAGGAATCATCAAATGACTTAATTTTTCTGATGGCCATAAAAGATTTGCTCTTTTTTTCCAAAAATGTGAATTTTTGCTTTGCTCCCTATATTTTAGTAATAAAATAAATAATTGGAATACACTTTTATCTCTCTTTTAATTTTAAACTTAAAAAAATATCATTGTATATTATATTTTCTATTTAAAAGTTACGATATACAAAGTAAAGAGCATGTACTTCTTTGGTAATGGCAGAGTATTTTCCATCTCCTTCTGGAGCAACATAAGATTCAAAAATTGATGAAGTACTGCTGATATACGCTGGTCTTTCTTTCCACGGTTTCTGCGGTAGAAAACCATGCTCTTTCATACGTGATCGTATTTGCTCCTTATCCATTTTAGTAATATCATCGTCATCGTCTTCAAACGTAGGAAGTTTTATTTTAATGACTTTTTGTCTCCTTTCCTTCTTCCATTTTGGATTCCAGTGCTTAGCTATATGTGCTACTTGTATAGAATTATTAGGATAATTAATAGCAGCAACTAATATTGGTAGATTGTTCTGAAATAAATGTTCATTTTTTTAGATTCATTTCTACATTTGGATAAATAGTTTTCTGACTACAATCAGATAGTATACGTCTCTTTTATTTGTTGAATTTATTCCTATTTATTCTTAATTATAAGCTAAATTGAATTCAAGGTGGTAAGGTAAAATGGAGTAAAACAATTTGAAAAAAGATTGTTTTATAATTTGTTTCATAATTTGGAAGATTGCCAATTTAAAAAATTTAGAAATCAATTTGCAATTAAATAAGAGGAATAAAATACGTATATTTAGTTTTCAAAAAATAGGATTGTATCAAGAACATACCTGTAAAAATGTTCTGTAAATAAACACGGGGCTCACGTATCTTAATAACATTTTCAGAAATTTTACTGCTTGAGAACTGTCGGAAGAAAAAAAACAATCATTCGAATTATAGTATATTTATCAATATTTTTATTTAATTTTATATTTATATTATATTTCACATCACGTTTTACGTTAGGGTTATGTCAAGTTGTGAATTGTTGTGAATGATCACTGGTCGTTATAGGTTATGTTCAAATTCGGCCCTGCGCATAATGAGGACATATTAGGAATAGGAATAAATATTAAATTTCAACCTATCAAACATTATATTCTAGTGTAACTTATATCTGATTGGTTGAAATTTTAATATTTATTTTCTTAATATTTTATTTTCCTAGGCTAAGGAAGATTTTATTCTGTGTGCTATAGTATACGTTACACTATATGTTTGTATACACTATAGTTTGTATACACTATATATTTCGAGTAAACTTTTCCTCGGAGAGGAAATTTTGAAACGTAACTCTAATATTTGTTCTATTGTGTGCAGGCCTTTAAACCTATTCTACAATATGCTTTTTGTTTTCTGTTTTTCGCTTTTTCCTATTTTTTACATCTCTTCTTTTTGCTTCTTATCTTTCGTTACCCGAGGTAAAAGTTAACAAACTTCGGAAGAAACAGAAAAGAAACACGTAGCAAGAAAATGCAAATCGACCACAGCCATTACAAGCACCGACAGATTGATTGTTCGTCTTTATCTATCTAACGGACCAAAATTCGTGCATATAGTGAAGAATACAATCAAAAAGTTGTAGATATTACCGACCGAATTATGAACATTGACTATGTAGTTCCACGTTTTATGGATATAGAGACTTCAAAATAAAATAACAACTAAATCTCGGGCATGGCCGCTCTCAAGGCCATGTTATGATAATTCTTGTGTTCAGACCCACAAGCTTGTTGCTTCAGCCAATCCGATGCTTCAATTTTAAAGTCGCATGATGCTTACGTTTTCGACGCTACGATACGATCAATGTAGAATGATCTTTAGGCTTCACTCTGATTGAAGCATGTTGGAGTATGCGACGTGAACAAATTTTTATATTTTCCAGTCAGTTTTATATTTTCGATATTTTTCAGTCAGTTTTATATTTTCGATATTTTTCAGTCCGTTATCAGATATTTTTTATCGATCTTCGATAATATCGACGTATCGATACATATAAGAGACCTCGTGGATTCCAAATTTCAATAGCGTCTTTTAGTACAGTATGTGCTTCTAGAGCTCAAATATATCATGATCGGTAATGATATTTGGTATTCTTCGGTACGTCGATAGCTTGTATGTAAAATTATAAAAAAAATAACGTTGACTTGTGTATATGAGATCTCTGCTCCCCGAGGAAGCTATTCGTTGCATTTAGGAATCCATTATTTCTGTATGGTACTATAACTGTATTTAAATCGGAAAACCAAAAAAGGAGAAATCAGAAGAAGAAGATTTGTGTATATAAGAATTCTGAGTTGATATTCTTGCGGTTTTTATAGCGATATTATAAATGACGTGATTTTCAATAGAACAAGAAAAAGAAATTCGAATTATTTTAATGTAAGAATTGTTTATAAGATAGGAATTTTAATTGCTGCAAATGTTGTACAGGACAAATTACAGCCTCTCAAGCAAATCCATAAATTGGGTAAAGATTCAATTAGGTATGCAAAGTATATAATATTACTTATTAGTGATAATTATCTTAATAGATTAATTATTTTTTACATGAAACAAATTCGTATAAACATGAAAAGTTTGAAGAATATTATATATGCAACATTTAAAATATCTGTATTATAACTTATTCTTTTTCTTAAGTTTCTTAACTGAATTTTTTTCAATCCTAATTTAGCTTGATATTACTTAATATCCATGTAAATTTAAATACTATTTATTCGTTTAAATTTTCTCAGAAAACATTTATCGCAGAGCTAGTTCAGTCACAATGCATCCTACAACTGATTCTGAAGTAAATACTGATGATGTAAATACTATACATGGGACTAAGAGATCCATAGATGATGGCAGTGAAAATGAAGCCAAGGTGCAAAAGACAGAAGAAGAAACAGTACAAGTGACAACAGTACAAGCAACAGAAATGGAAACAGTACAAAGAATCAAGAGAAAAAATCATGCTATGTTACTAGGCTATGTTGGCAAAGATTATTATGGCATGCAAAGAAATCCTGGTATGAAAACTATTGAGGAAGATTTAATTACTGCCTTACTAAAAGCAGACTTGATAACTAAGGAACAATTTGAGAATATACGTGCGATTAATTTTCAAAGAGCTGCACGTACGGACAAAGGAGTATCAGCGATTAGGCAAATTGTTTCACTGAAACTACGTAAGATAAATATTTTAAATCTTAATTTTTTTTCTACATATCTTTTTTAAGAATGATTGTTTAAGAATAATTTTGAATTATATTAATTATAATATGCTTATATTAATTTTACAATGCTATTTTTATTTAAGTTATTACTTAATGGTTGCATTCAACAAAAATAGCTTTACAAGATTTTTTAATCTGATTGATCTATACATTCAAATATAATGTAGAACTAACAGCAAGAATCATTAATAATCATACTAAAGAATCGTGCAACAGTTACAAAGTTATTCTTGCTGAACACAACCTTTATCAATAAAAGGCAAATTTGTTAAGCTTAAAAGTAACAAAGAAAATAAATTTTTTATTTGAATTATGTTATGAATATTAAATTATAAATATTTATTAAATTACTATTAAATTATAAATATTAAATTTTCTTTACAGCGGAGAATAGTAATAAGACAACAATAAATCAGTTCTTACCTGATGCCATCAGAGTATTTGGAATAAAACGTGTGACAAAGGGTTTCAACAGCAAAAATAAATGTGATGCACGTACTTATAGATATATCATTCCTTCCTATGCATTTGCATTAGAAGATCAAAGTTTGCTAAAACTTGGAGAGGAAGTTGACGAAGATGAAAGAATCAAACAGTTATCAATTATTGATGGAAAGCCGTACACTGATTATAGATTATCTCCAGAATCTTTAGATAAATTAAATTCGATTTTGAAACTTTTCGAAGGTTCTCATAATTTTCATAACTTCACGTCAAAAGTGTAAGTCGATATTAATTCAAAAGAACATATATATATATTCATTTAGATACTTAAAACTGAAGCAAATTTTGTTTAATTCAGAAAACCATTAGATCCACGCGCGCGACGCTATATAATTAGTTTCTGCTGTATGGAAACATTCGTTTTAAATGATATAGAATTAGCGGTATTAGAAATTAAAGGACAAAGCTTCATGTTGCATCAAATCCGAAAAATGGTCGCAATTGTAGTTGCGATTGCAAGGAACATGATATGCAAAGAGACAATCGATGAAGCATTCAAGACAATGGACAAGATGGATTTACCACTTGCACCTAGTTTAGGATTGTGTCTGTGTCATGTAAGAAAATTTGATAGCATATATTTTATTGATATATGAAATTATTTTAATATTTAATGTTAATCTATTAATATAATCTATTGTGAGATTAATATTAAGTTTTTTAAAAACGAATTATTCAAAGATTAAATGTATCAACAGGTGCATTATGATAATTATAGTAAAAGATATGGCACAGACGGTCTTCATGAAACATTAGATTGGAAGGAGTGTGAAGAAGAAGTAGAAAAGTTTCAAAAAACATATATTTTGCAACACATGATAGATACCGAAATTTCAGAACAAACGTATCTTTTTTGAACACTTTATATATATAATAAATTTTTCTTGTTTAAATATATACCTTAACCAATATTATATAGAACTTTAAAATGGCTGGCAGGCCTCCCTTTTTATTCTTTTAATAACAGAGACATGCTAGCTGTGGAGGATGATGAAAAACAAGAAGCCGTGCATAATGATGTTTAGGTGTAAAATACCGCCTTTGTATCAAATGCACTAAGAAACATTAAAGAAAGTTTTTAAATTATATCTTTAAGGTTTCCTATTTGCAAGATTAATTATAAGTTTCCAGTCATAGTTTTAAAGTTTCTTCTTGTAAAACCAAAAGCAATGATGTCAGAATCTTATTCAAACATCCTAGTAAAAATGTATTATTATCCCTACCTTGCAAAGTTTTTTAAACCGTTTTTAATTAAAAGCACATGTACGTCATCATGTCATCTGCCTCTCCCCCCCTCTCGATTTGTTGTTGGTTTAGATTAATTTGCAGCGTACAAACCATAGAATGTACTTTCCCTGTTTATGTACTTCCCACCACACACGCCAAGATGACGCTTGCGTTGGGTAATTCCAATCTCATGTCACAGTGCAGATGATCGCAGTGAGTGACCGAGCGCCGAGATATAAAGAGGCTGCAATTACTGACGTTTTGCACGGTGTGCTTTACCATGCGGATTTTTCAATGGATATCTACACTACTAACAGTTATTTATGGTAAGAAAGAAACATATGACGCCAACTTATTTTTGTGATATAAATAAGAACTATCACGATATTAATAAAAAGTATTCGTAATTGTAAAAACTGTAACTTTATAAAAAAATTTTTCTACTATAACTTTCTCGAAGATTTTTTATTTATTTTTATTAATTGGGTATATAGTGTAACAGAATTTTAAAGATACATTATATTCTATTATTCTTTTAAAGCAATTACTGATAAAATAACATTGATAAATATTCATGAAAATATTTATAAATGCAACTGTTTTCATTGATGTTATTACCATGCTTACCTTGTGTTCTGACATAACATTTGTTTTGATATATTTTGAATCCATATATTTCTACACATTTCACAGTATCGAAATTACGTCAAATAACATTATATATAACATATATTTTAGAAAAATGTCAATAATATATTTTGAAGTTTTAATTTTCTTACAAAATTTTATTTAGTTTGCATATTTTAATCTTAATTAAATGATCAATCAATTAATAATTTATAAATAATAATTGATAGAAAATACTTTGTTAGTAAAACTTGTTTTATTTATTTGTATTTGTTAGAAGAAATTTCTATATATTATTTATTATATATTAATTGATATTTCGTAGTAATTGTAGATTCGCATATTCCAAGAAATTTCTGAAGTAATCTTAACCAGTTTCAGAAACCAGTTTAGTGACCTTGAACCTCTGTGTAGAAGAATATCTTGCGCTCACTTATATTGGTAGATAATAAGCGAAGATGATACACGAATACATATAAAACATATCTCTCCTATATTTATTAAAGTTTATTAAAATTTTTCTTATATTGTGCTAGCTGATATATGATCAATCTCAATCTATAGTTTCCCTATCATAAAAAATATGAGCATCAAACAGAATTCTTTTAAATATATTATTGAAAAAAATCTTATTTATATAATTAAAATAATTTAATAAATAATTTCAACTTACATATACAATTGTCCAACACATAAAATAATAGAAAATAGATTTTTTAGAGCAAAATTAATTTTTGGATTTTTCAGTGTGTATTGGTTCTGGATATGCACAAACTTATGAATGTGGGTAAGTATTTACATATCAAAGTAATGTAATGTTTAAGCAAATAAATATCAGCTAATATACTTGTCCGAACAGATTAGACAAATTTCGATGCTACAATGGAGACTGTATAGCTGGCGACTTATTGTGCGATGGCACACCACACTGTAGGGATTTGTCTGATGAAACAGAGGCAGAGTGTACAAAGCCAGAGATTCTGTGTCATAGGTATGCCTTTCGTTGCAACTATGGTGCCTGTGTAAATGGAGATTCCATATGTAATGGCGTCCAAGATTGCATTGACAACAGTGACGAAACGCAGCCTCAGTGCACAAAAAATACAACAAACAATCAAACAGAAAGACCTACAAGCAGACCTATAAGCAGACCTAATAGATGTACTACAAATCAAATTACATGCGATAACGGCGAGTGTATTCATAAGGACAATATGTGTAATGGAATTCAAGATTGTGCGGATGGTTCTGACGAAACTTCTGAAAAATGCAGATCAATATAGTGAGAATCTTTTATAAATGCTGAAAATTGTTAAACGATCATGAGAAACAAACGTTTTATAACTGCTAATTTGTTTGCAGTTGTCCTCCGACAGCTTTCCGTTGTTCTTATGGAGCATGTATCAATGGTGATCTACGATGTAATGGAGTAATTGAATGCGTCGATGGATCAGACGAGGATTCGAGATGCAGCGAAACAGGGTGGCCATCACCTTTACCGACGGTACGACCAACAACGGAAACAACACGATGGCCTATATCGAGTCCAACACCAACACGTGGTACAAACGCTTGTAGAGCACCTCCGCAACCGCAGAATGGTCATTGGAAATTACATCGATCACAATGTTCAAGTGGACAAGAATGTAACGTTCCAGAAGGAACGGAACTGGGATTAGGATCTCATCTCGTCTATTCTTGCAATTCGGGATATAAATTAAGAGGTCCAACTGACGTGAGCTGCAGTTTCGAGGGAAAATGGCTTAATATACCAGTTTGCACAGGTTTAAAACAAGAATTATATATTTTTGAAATATTTAATTATTCATGAAAAGATATATATGAATTTTTAAATATCGAATTATTAATTATTAATTGTTTGATAGAAATACGCTGCAAAGCTTTGACTACAGCATCAATCGAAGCTAGATGTACATACGATGACGAATGGATATCTTGTGAATCTCCAGTTCCACCAAGAACAAAAGCGGTATTAGAATGTCAAAATAGTTATCGACCTGAAACTAATCTATTAACCGGGCAAAGAAAAAATGTGAGATGTAATGCAAATGGTCAATGGGAACCAGAACCTATGCGATGCATTCCAGGTCCGCTCATGATAAATATTTATGTTAATAACACTAAATTTACGTTTCATACTACTTTCGATAGAAATGCTACATTTATTGAAATTTTGGACGATAGAATCATTATATATACGAATGCCAACAATCCAAATTATCCAAATATAGACATTAGAGTATCAAAATCAAATAATGATATAGTAACAGATGAGCCATGGGCATGGTCTTAAAACAATGAAAGAATGATAATATATTGTAAATACAATATTTTTATATTTTTATAGTTGGCACAGTAATACATGTCTTATCCCTATTGAGAGATAATTCACATATCTGTTTATTAAGGTGGTTGTTATTTTAATAATTTTTTAAATTTAATCGGAATCCTCTAAATTGATTCAATATCTCAAAAATAACATCAGATTTTTTTTAGATTTTTTGAACAATTTTAACCGTAGCACTGATAGAAGAATATTTTTATGGACAAAATTCGACCAATGTTTTAAAATACAATTTTAAAGTTTTTTTTTAATTTGCTCGAAATTGAATGAACTAAAAGCCCACTTTGCCTAAATTTTGATTATGGTCCAAAGTAAAAATTGCTGATTCAATGAAGTGAAAAAAAATGAAAATTATATAATAATGAATATTGAACAATTTTTCAGCAATTTTTAATTTGAACCGTGATCAAATTTTACGCAAAATGAGCTTATAGATCATTCAATTTTGAGCAAAAAGAAACTTTAAAATTGATTAAGAATTATTAGAGCATCAGTCAAATTTTTCCGCGGGATCTTGAAAGGAGGATGTTAAAAAGACTCCGATTTCTATCCAAAAAGATGTAAGTAAATGGAATAGTGTTTTTTATAGATTTTAACCTCCTGATAATGTTAATAAAAAGTTCGGGCTCGATAGGGAAACCTTGAAAATTGAGCATGAACCTGACACACATTTAAAGAAATTTCAATATTCTTGTTTATTTTTCAAGATGTTTTCCAAATGTTGAACTGTTTAATAATTTTATATTCAGGAGTTCAAAATCTATAAAAAACACTATTTTTTTACTTATATTTTTTTGTGCAAAAGTCGATCCTTTTTCTAATATCCTCCAAAAAAAAGGGCAAATTTTTGCCCAAAAGATGTATGTAAAAGAAATAGTGTTTTTTGTAAATTTTGATCTCCCAAAAAGCATGTGAGAAACATCTTGAAAAGTAAATAAGAATATTAAAATTTCTTTAAATATATCATGTTTATGCTTTATTTTCAGGGTGTTCCTCCGATCGTTCCCCTATCGATCCCGAACTTTTTAACATTATCATATTCAGGAGATCAAAATCTATAAAAAACGCTATTCCTTTTTACTTACACATTTTTGGGTAGAAGTCGACCTCTTTTTAATATCCTCTTTTAAAAAGCTCTGTTAGTTAAATTTTTTGTTAAAAAAAATAGATTTGATGTAAGTCCATGTTAAATCGCGGTATCAAAAATACATATATATAGACCGGTATTATAATCGGTTCTTATTTTAAAATCGTCTTAAGCAATGTCTTAAAATGCTAATACTCTCTTGTTCACGATATCTAAAAATTATACTTAAGACGGTATATAAGATCTGACTATGAATATCACCCATAGATGCAAATGCGTGTATTTTATCTTATCGCATATCTATTTATGTCCTAATAGCATGGATTAAAATTGTTTAAAAAATCTGATATTATTTTTTTGAAATATTGAATTAAACTACTTTAGGGGCTGTCCCGATTAAATTTCAAAAATTGTTAAAATAACCACTTTACTATGTATATATATTACAGTTTCTGTTTAAGTGATTTGAAATTGTTTCCTAATAAACCAAAGTTGGAAATGAAAGTATTAAATTCAATTTTTAATTATTATACAAATGCTGTGTACAAATGTATATATTAAGTGTACGCATTTACGTACCGAATATATTTAATAAACTTTTATGTAACTTTTTGATATATTTCAATCTCTTTCCCATCCCATTAATCATAAAAGTATCATGACGCAATGGAATTACAGTAATTGTGAATTATCTCCTTTATATAATCATACGTATTCAATACGCTTTCTTGTATTATTACATCGCGACAATCGAAATATTTGTTGTAGTATGTGGCACTCTTCCTCCCGATGTTACACCGACTATTGTAGGCGGTGTACGGCCGAATATCACGGAATTTCCGTGGCACGCTACGATGTATCGCAATATAGGCAAGTCAAAGAAATTCTTCTGTGGAGCGAGCATTATTCAAGATAATCTCTTGATAACGGCAGCGCATTGTGTATATGATGAGATCAATAGACAACCAATTAATGCCAGATCAATTTATATATTAACGGGAAATATTTATCGTGATTATGATTATGCTCATAATCCAACCCTCGTTAAAAAGAATCAGGTTTGGAAGTATATAATGCAAATAACAAATTAATTTAGAAAGAATATTGTTGGTCATAAATGTTTACACACCTTCTTGCAGGTGAAACATATTTACATCGTACGTAATTATCTAGGACTTATAGGAAATTATCTCTGGGATATCGCAATACTAGAACTCGTTAGACCATTTATATTGTCAACTTGGTTGGTTCCCATATGTATAGATACTTTAAGCGATAGAAGTGTATTGGAAGCAGGCTCTTATGGAAAGGTAGCAGGATTTGGTAGAACCGCATTTGGTGAATCTAGCGCAATTTTACAGGCTTTAACAGTACCTGTAATTCCGCTCAGCCAATGTAGATCCGCTAGCCAAAATGCTAATACAGAACAATTTATTACCAATGATAAATTTTGTGCAGGTTATACAAATGGTTAGTAGAAAAATCTATTAAATATAACATTAATTAGCATGACAGTATATTTTTGTACTAAATTTATAAGAAAGATATTTGTAAAAAATGTAAACTTATTTTAATTTATAGAAGTTATAAAAAAAATAAGAGGAAAGAATAAATTTAAGAATTGTTTTTAAGATCGTTCTATATAAAGATGCGAAAAATAGAAAAATAACTTACAATAAGCATTGTATGTTTCAGGTTCTTCTGTCTGCGATGGTGACAGTGGTGGCGGATTAGTCTTTAAAACTAATCGTTTGTGGTATCTTCGAGGTATTGTTAGTGTTTCCCTTGGCACGATACAAAAGGATGGAACTGCTTATTGTGACAATAACTTGTATTCCTTATATACAGAAATATCCAGGCATATTTCATGGATACAAGATGTAATTACAAAAATAGAACAAAATCAGACACATATATTATGTTCAAATGAATCTCAAACGAGATGTTCTTAAATTTATTGATGATACCATCAGTTATGTGCAATTATTGAAAAAAACATTTGTCTTGTGCCATGTAAGTCTAAACTATTGTTTCTTTATTGTATTGTTTGTCAAATGCGTAATCATGTGAAGAGAGTTGCACCTCTGTTGAATGGAATAATTAAAGACTTAAGAAATAAGTTTTTGTATGTATGTGATAAATGAGATTAATTTTACAACTCTAGCTGGGCTTATTAATATTTTATGTTTTTAAAAAATTGATAGAAATAGAATTTTAATTGTCATATTATCTATTTTGACTTCATATATATCAAGTTAAAAAACATATTTAATAAAAAAAATTAAACATTTTTTTACATAATGTACAATAAATATATTTTTTATTAGATGTACAATAAACATTTTTAAAAAAATGAGATAAATGATTTTATGAAGATATTAATATCAAGTTATTAATACCAATAGATTGACTATTGCAACTTACAAACACTCAGGTTTTTTCAAAGCCTTTTCTTTATTGGATGGTACAGCTGGCAGAGTAGTTACATCTTTGCTTGGTGAAACTAAACCTGTGTATTATATATTCCATTATATATTCCATTATATTTTATATAAAATATAATAAATTCCATATTTACCTTCCATGCATAAATCTTGCAAACGTTGCTTCAATTTTTCAATCTCTGGATTTGAATCAGGAACTGCAGCGAAAACATCTACATTATCTTCATCTAATAATTCTGCCAATTCCCTTTCCAATTCGATATCAGAGTCTGCATTGTTTAGTGTCTCAGATAAAACTAAATCTATCTCTTTGTTCTCCTCTAAAACCTAATCATTGAGTAATGGATATTAGTACTCGGTTTATATTAAATAATCACAAGCGACATATACAACCACTTACCTCATTAATATCATCCATAACATCTCTGACACCAAATTCTGTTAAACCATTTTGTCCGATCTTCTTCAATACATCGGACCCAGTTTTATAAGCAGACAATACAGCAGAGTTAGAATGTGCATCCTTGATATTGTTGATGAGAACACGCAGATTTGCAAGAGCTTGTGCACGTTTTTCTATGGTCTTTTCTAGTTCCAATTTTCTTCTTAATTGTGCCTTTGCCATCTGACGCAACTCTTTTCCTAAATATAACTTTACTTCATTAATAATATTGAGCTTTTCTTGCTCCAAAAGTTCTATTTCTTTGATTAGTTCATTTTCCTGTTTTGTCAGTTTATACATGCCTTCTTCTACCTCTGTAATTTCATTTACTGTTTGCACACAGATTTTAATTAGTAATTCACTATTTGGATTCGAACTCTTCTTAAAAATCACTTTTTTTCTTTGCTTTAACCATTCTAATGTTAATTTCACTGCATTCTCTGAAATCTGTTTTTTTGTATTGCTCTTGCAATATTCTACTATCTCCGATATTGGGAACAACATATTATCTTTTCTAATTTCAGTGATGGAGAGGATAATATCACTTAATTCTCGTACAATTCGCAAATGTATATATTTGACTTCTATATTATTAATCTTCTGGCCTACAACATAATTCTTTACCTTGGAAAATGACCAGCTAATTGGCTTTTTTACAAATATGTCGATTGACCATGCTGTCCATGTTTCACATGGTTCTTTAAAAAAATCAGTTTGTTGAATTATCTCGTTATTTCTAAAACAAATTTATAGAATATACACATTAATAAAACAGAAAAGAATATACAACATTAAAGCATTTTGAATTATATCCTATTTTTTACTATAATTGCCATTAGTATAATCACTGATGGATTAATAAAAACATTGAAAAAATGTGTATATATACTTATAAATATATGTTCATATATATTTAATGTATAATATTTATATTAAATATATTTAATCTATATATATCTATACTTTTAATAGTTGCAACAATACCTTAGAAGCTCCTCAATTACAGTAACTAGACATAGTGGCGTACAGCCTTTTCTTTTGAAGGCTTCGTTCAAATCAATGATAGAAAAACTGCATTGCATGGTATGTTTCAGCCATTCGTATATTAGATTGTTCCAGAACTTGTATTTAGAAATCCAATCCTGCGGGTTTGCGGATTTACTGCGAAACGGCGAGAACAGCGCGCTCATCCTTTCTTCTTGATTCCAACATTCTGGCAATTTTTCTGCTGGTAGTGGCGAATTGCCACTGGTGTTTCCATCAATCATTTTACTATCAATACCAACGTCATTCATGAGATTAATAGATTAATTAAATAAAATTTTGTAAATCACTTCAAGACGCACAAATTAATTTTAGGTTATAAAATTAAAATTTTGTTTAATCGCAATTGTGTTCTATTTTCGTACACATGTATTTTTCTGTCGATCTCTGATTTTTATCAAGTTCATTCTGAGAAGTGCTTATGCTATAAAATATTATACGTATTATAAATAAAAGAAACACAGATCCTCTCGAAACGTGAAAAGACGTGAGTGACAGAGTGACGTAATATAATTATAAACAATGGTTGCGTTCTGCAGACTCAACTGTTGCGGAACGGATTTGTGAACGCTCACTGCTATTGGATGATCCATGATGTAAGAATATCAGGTGTTCCGTTCCTATAGTAGCGCAGTAGCAGCGTGAATTTAGGTAAAAATTGGATTGGTAGTTTCCAGTATTGCTATCGCCATTATGTGCAATGAAACACCCGTATCCTTATATCATGGGATGAATAGAAGAATAAACAATAACAGCGGACGCTCACAGATTCACTCCGCAATAGTTGAGTTTGCTGAATAATGAACGCAACCAATCTTACGACTTCGATTAAACGTTTGTTGAAAATACTTTAATGCACAAATCCAAAGATTTTTATTAAAATACTATTTTCTTATTCGCAATCTTTATTTTCTCATCTTCACACTCTTCCAATGTTCATTCATTTAAAACTATTGTCATCATAGTTGTCATCAGTTACTTCGAGATCTTTGAGATAGTTCAATATATTTACATCTCTTCTTACAGGAAATCAGATTTGTGTGAAATAACATGAATTGCGTGAATCAAGGTGGAATTATTGACTGATGATGATGACAATTCCAAACTGAAAATGGACTCTATTATATACATTATAAATTAATTTACATGGCATCAGGATAAAAGATATCGTATAAATGCTAATTAAATCTGATTTTAAAACAGTCAGTTATTGTTAAAAAAAACTGGATTTAAGAATTTTAGAATTTATACGACATAATCCACATAGATAAATCTAAAGTATCGTTTTGTTTCTCAGGAGCTGCTCGGGATCGCTCGGAATGAACTACCTATCATACTTAAAATGTAGAATTCATACTATATACCTCTGTTATACGACGTCTGACATTCATCATAACAATGAATGTCAGATGTACAGACAAAACGAATAATACTTAGATTTGTTGCTTGGTATATACTCCAACATGCTTCAACATGTTCTTATCATAGTTCCTACTCACTTTAACGAGTGCATTTCAGTGAGTAGAAGCAGAGAAATTTCTCTCTGGTAGAAATTACGGTTGGAGGAAGTAGGAACATATTGGAGCATGCGATGCGAACAAACCTTCTATTATCGGTTATGAGTAAAACGCACCTTACACATCTCATTTCGTCACTTTTACACAAGATGGCATTGTGAAAATTTACGTTTACGTTATGAAAGCATCCGTTGAAGCATTTAATTTGAATTGAATTCTATTTGATACAAGATGGGCGTTAAAGATCTGTGGAATATTTTATCGCCTTTATGTGAGAAGAAACCACTGTACGAGCTACAGGGGAAGACCATCGCGATCGATTTAAGCGGATGGATCGTGGACAGTCAAACGATCGTTGATAATATGGTACAACCGAGGATGTATCTTAGGTAAATCTGCTTTGATTCAACTTATTTTTATTCGTTGAAATATATTTCATTAAATGACATCAGAAAATATTAAATATATAATGGATCAATAGTGGATAATTATTAACATACAATACACGTTTTTAAAATTTATGTATAATAAATTTGTATTTAACAATAAAATGTATATTATTTTGTTTTTTAATAAATTATCATTTATATGATTTGCTTATATATTTGCAGAAATTTGTATTTCCGTACGGTATTCCTTCTTGTGCATGGGATATCTCCGGTATTTGTATTGGAAGGAAAGCCACCTATCCTAAAACATAAAACTATTGCACGAAGGAACGATGTTCGTAGTAGATTTCAGGAGAGAAAAACTGCTAAGAGAGGAGGAAGAACACAGTTTAATCGAGTTCTAAACGAGTGTAAAGAATTATTAAGATGCATGGGTGTTGCTTGTATACAGAGCTGTGGTGAAGCAGAAGCTATGTGTGCTTATTTAAATGAAGATGGAGTATGTTCATGTATTTAATTTTTTTATAAATTATTTATTATCTTTAAAAGAAAAATGTACTTTTAGCTTGTAGATGGATGTATAAGTCAAGACAGTGATTGTTTCTTATATGGTGCAAAAGTGGTATACAGAAACTTTTGTATGAGTACTCATGGAAATTATGGAGCTACTGGTGGCTCTGTAGATGTCTATAGTATGGAAAAAATAGAGAAGATATTAAATATAGGACGAAATAAAATGATAGCATTAGCTTTGCTGTGTGGTTGTGATTATGATGAGGGAGTGAATGGTGTTGGAAAGGAGGCTGCTTTAAAATTTTTTAAGACTGTGAAAGAGGAAAATGCTTTACAAAGGTTTAAGTATATTGTATGTTCATCAAATTTATCAAATTTTGTAACTGAACTGTACAATTAAACTTGTTTTTCTTTTTTTTTCTTCAGAATTCAAGATTGGAGAACTGATACAAGATTGAACAAAGCTGAATGTGATTTGTTAAATCCAAGTTTATGTACATCATGTGGTCACCCAGGAAAACTGCAAAAGCATACAAAATCAGGTTGTGCTGATTGTGGAACTGTTAGGAAGTGTAATGATGATTTTAGGTAAAAATTATTATATTGTTACATATATTTCTTTTGA